ACCACCCTCCACGCTTCTCTGAACCGGTTTCCCTTCCACACCCAGATGGTGATGGGGGGGTTAAAGAGTACACGTATCAGGATGTGCACTGAGTAATGTATACAATTGTTGGGTCACTATATTGTGCACCCGAAACTCATATAACAGTGTATGCTACCCATACTGGAATCGAGATAAAAAAGTTAGTAAGAAAAAAAAATAGTAAAAAAAAGAATTTTGCCAGACTGAGCATTCTAGATCAGCCATCAGCGTTATTCACGTTTATACTTCTGATGACCCAGTGATTGGGTTCTGGTGTCCAAACTCCTTCATTTCAGGGTTTCATTATCTGATGACCTGACCCTGTCTAGCTATCCTACCTCACTTGTCATATTTAATATTCAAAACCTACTGAGTTCCTGAAAGACCTCACATTCTTTGTGGATCTGGATCTTTGCACACATGTGATTCTCTCTGCGTGTAATGCCCTAGATCAGACATTTAAGGAGAGTGAACCTACTCATCTTTTAAGACCCATCTTTTAAGATACTGTCTGTCTGTCAAGTGTTTTCCCAGTTAACATATTCCTTTCTGTATGGTCCTTTAGCACCTGGCACACATTTTATCACCTTACATTGAAATCTCTCGCTTGACTTTGTGGGGCTTTAGGTCAAAGAGGGAGTCTGGATTATCCCCGTGCCCCTGATACCTCACCCCGGTACCTGGCACCATGCTAGTCGCTCAGTTTTGTGACGTTTTGTAAAGCGTACGGACCGAAGCTGTCTCTCATTCATTCATTTCATGCATTCATTCTGAACGAAAGACACCTTCAGCCCATACACCTTATAAAACTGAATTGGTTTCACAGAACAGTTTTGATTTCAAGATTCTAAACAGATGCAAATAATACCTAAGGGCAGCAGTCATGAAAATGTAACATCTCTGTAAGTCATTCACAGAAACAGCTTTTCGAAGCCAGTGACAGTTTAAGTGATACATCAGTGCTGCCGTCCTGAGGGAAATCTCCTGGCTCTCTCCTCAAGGGCCTGTTATCTCCGACTACAAGGACTCCAGAATCACACTGCCTTTCTCCTCAGTATTGTCTGAGGGTCATATATTTAGCCTCTCTTCGGGTTTATCTCTTCTAGCCATTATTTCCCCAGCGCAGAAATCCTAGTCCCTCCCGCCGCCCCTCCCCGCCACCATACCTCTCCTTTTCTCCAACATCTGAGGTCTTCAAGGGAGAAGTAGCCCTCTTGAAACGTCCATTATCTCAGCACTTATCCTGAAGGAGGGACTTGGATCTTTTGTCCTCCTAGATCTCACACTGATGAGATATGTGTAAAGACTTAGCTTTATGTCCTACTTGGTGAATTCTCCGGCTAAATTTCTTTATTTCTTCACTCTACCCACTTGGCTAGTTTGATTTAATCTTTGCATGCTCGGATCATCATTCCTGCATTTCAGTCTGACATCATGTCTGGAGAAGGAAACACAGGGCCAGTCTGCTTTCCAGGGACCCTTAGGGTTGGCACCCCTGATCCTGGCACTGTCAGCTACTAGATTTGATGAGAGTAGGTTGACAAGTAATGGTGATAAATGTTTCCTGTGAGAACACACTGTCTGCCTAAATGGGGTAATTTCTTCTCTGTGTGCCTTCCTTTGGGAAATGCATAAAGTCACTGAAGTTGTGAAAAAACCAAGTGATATACATTGCATTAACGAAGTTCCTACTCCTTATGTCAGTTCTTGGACTTGTTTTGCTCAAGTGAGTATTGGGTTTCTCCATGTATTAACTCTGTGATGTTTAGAATTAGAGACAAAATAATTTTTCCTAATTTATGAAAAGCTTTGGGGATAAGTAACAACTTAGTAATGAAAAATTTGTTGTAAGTAAAACTGAAAATTGTAGGTGTATGGCTTTAGGGATATTTAAAATTAGAGGCTTGCCTCATTATGTAGTTCTAAAATTTTGAAACAGGTAAGATACCTTAAAATCAAACCTTGTGTGTAAATAAAGCCATTGTTTGTAGCTTTAATGTGACACATCCCATTATGATCTCAAAATGGTGAGTTAAAAAAACAACAACAAAATGACAGGGTTAATGTCTTCTTCACAGTCTGCTGTTTCCTGGTTAAAACATTTTCCCACTCTTACTTTTCTTTAACCAAGGAGGTGACTGTTTTCTAAGCAGAGTTACATTGTCAAATCACAAGCCTAACAGTGTCCATTAAAAATAAAAGTACCATAAGCACTGTAGATCTATTTAGTTTTAACAATTAAGAAGACACAGCTACCAGAGAACATGCTGACAACGAGAATCTTAAACGTTGCTGCCAAATCCTGTAATCGTTATTTAGTGAAGATAGCACCAGACATTTCTATATCTAAAAGACAAGCATACTCAATGTATCTTTAAAAAGGAAACAAACCTGTACATTCGGCACTGAGTAGATATCCTAAAAGGCAGATGGTGACGAGGCCCAGTGATTCTGCCATGATCCTATTCAGGCACTGCATAACCTTTGCTGACGAATTGTGCAAGTGGTAAGGTTGACCAATTGTTCCAAAGTACAAGCCGAGCTGTATTTACTTCTGGGAAACAATGTCCATCTCCCTCAGTGGGTCTTTGGGCTATTTCCAGTGGCCTCTTGGGTGAAGTGAAGAGTATAGGCAGTGTTCATCTTTAAGCTTCACCTCTGATTCCATGGGCTTCTGCCACTGTGGCTGATGGGAGGCTGAAGCAGGAAGCAACACATCATCAGAACAGGGGGAGGTATAATGGTAGTTGCTGTGGCAGCAAAATTCATCAGTGAGATCCATCTTTATCCTTGTCAGGGAGCACTAATGTCATAGAGTTTAAAAATAAAGAGACAGGGGCGCCTGGGTGGCTCAGTTGGTTAAGCCTCCAACTCTTGGTTTTGGCTCAGGTCATGAGCTCAGGGTGGTGGGAATGGAGCCCCATATTGGGCTCCACACTCAGCACAGGGTCTGCTTGAGATTCTCCCTCCCTCTCCCTCTGCCCCTCCCCTCCACTCGCACTCTTTCTAAAATAAATAAATAAATCTTTAAACAAAAAAGTATAGAGACAGAACAAAGTCATTTGGTTATCTACCTTAAAACACTCCCAGTGTTTACATACATTTAATCACCTGGTGGATCCTTTATGTTCCTCCTCATAACGAGTTTATAAACTTTATTGTGCCATGTTCCCATAGAGTGAAATGTGAGGACCCTGTCTCAGAACATATGTATGTATGTGTGAGCATATGTGTATGCATGTATACTTATATATTATGTATATAAAAATATATGAATATTATCTTATAATAGTTTGTGTTAGTATATTATACCACTTCATGTATAATATAAAAACAATAGTATACCAACATTTACCTATCATTCTTTGTGCTGCTGTTGTGGTACATTTTATTTCTACCTGTTATAAACCCTATATTACATTATTCTGCTTTAAGCAGTCACGTCTTTCAAAGAAATTTAAAAATGAGAAAAAACATTTTATATTTAGCCACATATTTGCCATTATGATATTCTTCATTTCTTTGTGGAAATCCAAGTTTCAATCTGTTAAAATTTTTCATCACTCTGAATAATTCTCTTTAGTAATTTTGATAGTGTAGGTCTTCTTATGATGAATTTTCTCAATTTTTATTTGAAAATGTATCTATTTTACTTTTTTTTTTAAAGATTTTATTTATGTATTTGTCAGAGGGAGAGAGAGAGAGAGAGCACAAGCAGGGAGAGCGGCAGGCAGAGGGAGAAGCAGGCTCCCTGCTGAGCAAGGAGCCCGATGCAGGTCTCCATCCCAGGACCTTGGGATCATGACCTGAGCCAAAGGCAGACACTTAACCAACTGATCCACCCAGGCATTCCAATTTTACCCTCATTTTTAAAAAGTAATTTGGCTGCATATATAATTCTAAGTTGACACTTTTTTTTTCCTTTCAGCACATTAATGTCATCCTATTGCCTTCTGGCATGCATTGTTTCTGATGAGAAAGCAGTGACTATCCTTATCACTGATTTTCGGCAATTTGCCTACGGTGAGTCAAGGGAATTCTTGGATCTGTGGCTGGATATTTTTATTAAAATGAGGAAAATTTTTGGACATTAATTAAAAAATTTTTTTTGAAGTTATCATAGGGTCCCCGGAAATTGTAAAAACAGTTCAGAGAGGTCCCATATATCTTTCACCCAGTTAGTCCCAATGTTTATATCTCACATAAATATAGGATAACATCAAAACCAGGTAATGAACATTGACGTAATGTATGTGTGTAATTCTAAGTAATTTTATCACATGGGCAGATTTATGTAACCACCACTGCGGTCCAGATACAGAACAATTCTATCACCACAAAGATCTCCCTTGTGCTACTATTTTATAATCATACCCACCTCACTCCTCCCAATTATTCCTAAACCTGGCACTACTTACTAATCAGTTTTCAGCCTCTGTAATGAGAATGTTGTATAAATAGAATCATAGAGTGTGATCTTTTGAGATTGGCATTTTTCATTGAGCACAGCGCCTTTGAAATCCATCTGGGTTGCTGCAGGTTTCAATAGTGAATTCCTTTTTGTTGCTGAGTAGTATTCCATGATGTGGATATACCACAAATTGTTTATTCACCTACTGAGGAACATTTTGATTGTTTCCAGTTTTTGCTATTGAAATAATGTGCTATAAACATAAATGTACTGTTTTCTGTATGGATGTAACTTTTAAATTTCTCTGGGATAAATGCCCAGGAATGTAATTTCTAGGTCATATGGTAGTTGAATATTTAGCTTTTTTTTTTTGAAGGATGTTATGCCAAGAGAAGAAATTTGTTTTTTGTTTTTTTTATTTTTTAGCAAGAGAGAAAGAGTGAGCAAATGGAGAGAGGGAGAGGGAGAGAGAATCTTAAGCAGGCTCCACACTTGGTGCAGAGTCTGACACAGGGCTTGATCTCACGACCCTGAGAACATGACCTGAGCCAAAAGCAAGAGTCAGACGCCTAACCAACTTAACCACCCAGGCACCCTGAATGTTTGGCTTTTAAATAAACTGCCAAACTGTTTTCCAAAATGGATGCATCACTTTACATTCCCACCAGCAATGGGTGAATGATCCAGTTTCTTGGCATCCTTGCCAGCATTTTATATTGTCACTGTTTTTTTTTTTTTCTACCTTAGACACTTTGATGGGTGTGTTGTGATAACTCACTGTATTTTAATTTGTATTTCCCCAATGGCTAATGATGTTGAACACCTTATAATTTACTTACTTTCTGTATATCCTCTTCAGTGAAATGTATGTTCATGTTTTTTGCCTATTTTCCAATAAGACTGATATTTTACTGTTCAGTTTTAGAGCTTTTTAAAAAAATATTATAGATGTGAGTCCTTTTTCTCAGATACATGGTTTGCAAATACTGTCTCCAAGACCGTAGCTTATCTTTTCATCCTCGTAACTGAGTCACATAGCCAAAGTTTTAGGTTTTGATGTAGTTCAATTTATCTTTTTAAAAAAAATTTTATTTATTTAGCATGCATGTGAGCTGGGGGAGGGGCAGAAGGTGATCGAATCTCAAGCAGACTCAACACTGAGTGCTGAGCCTGACACGGGGCTTGATCTCATGACCCCAAGATCATGACCTGAGCCTGAATCAAGAGTCAGACACTTAACCAACTGAGCCACCCAAGGGCCCCTCAGTTTATCATTTTTTAATGGATCATATCTTAATGTCCACATTTAGAACTCTTCCACTAACACTGATCCTGAAGCTTTTTCCCATTTAAAAATATTTTATACTTTTAGGTTTTAGGTTTATTCTGGTGCTCCATTTTGAGTTAATTTTTATAAGGTATGAGGTTTAGATTGATTTTTTTTTTTTTTTTTGGCCTGTGGATGTCTGATTCCTTTAGCACCATTTATTAAAAAGATAATCCTTGTTCTGTTGAATTGCTTGTGCAGTTTTTTTTTTTTTTTTCCCCACAAATCAGTTGAGTATATTGGTTTGGGTATAATTCTAGGTTTCCTCTTCTGTTTCATTGCTATATGTGTTTATCCCTCTGCCAACCCCACCCTGTCTTGATTACTATAGCTATATGGTAAGCTTTTGTATCAGCTAGAGTGATTTCTCCCACTTTAATATTTTGTGGCAAGATTATTTTGGGGGGGTTACCAAATAACTTTATTTTGAAGGAATGGTACAAATGAAAGAAGTTAAATAGATGTTTTGGTACAACTTATAGAAAAGGTAAATATAACCCCACCATGCATACACTGCCTTGGTGACCAGGGAAGTCACCCTTGGGGCTATGGGAAGACCCTAAGGTTTAACTCTCGTTATCACTGTTTCCCAAGGTATGCTTGTCAGAGAGATACTCTGCCATGCCATATTCAGGAGCCCCCATCTTGCGCAGGTTGGTTACATGGTCACCCAATTCTTTGATGGATTTCACTTGTTTATTCAGGTAATGAGTCTCAATTAAGTCCCACAGATGGGGTCATTTTTTATCAGTGACCAGTTTGTGTAGTTCCAGTAGTGACTGATTCACACTCTTTTCCAAGTGTAACGCACACTCCATTGCATTTGGTCCGTTTTCCCAGTAATCACGGTCTGGTTTCTTGATATCCTGAGGGTCCCTGCAGCTTAATCAGTTTCTCAGCATGTTCGCTCTCCTCATGAGATGGGTGAAGAAAATATTTGGCCAAGTTCTTCGAAGCCTTCTTTGTGGTCAAAGTAGTAAGACATGGACTACAGGTAGACATAGGCATAGAGCTCCAGGTTGATCTGGAGGTCGAGGGCAGCCTCCGAGTCCTGGTGGTAGTTCTGGTGTACCTGTGAGAGGGACATAGTCATCATGGCAGCCGCTGAGGAGAGGCAGTGTCAAGTGGTGGTGGCTGCAACGGGGATGGTCTGTGGGCACTGTGAGGAGATGGCGGAGGGTTGACTCTGAGCAGCCACCAGGGTGGGGGACGAGTGCCGGGTTCTGTCCAAGAACTGTTGAAGCAGGAAACTTCAGTGACTTTCGATGGCGACTCAATATTCTGTGGCAAGATTGCTTTAATTATTCTAGGGCCCATAAGATTTTATATAAATTTAAAAATAATCTTATCTGAAGCTACAGAAACTTTTGCTGGTTTTTTTTTTTTTTAAGATTTTATTTGTTTATTTGACAGAGAGAGAGACAGCGAGAGAGGGAACACAAGCAGGGGGAGTGGGAGAGGGAGAAGCAGGCTTCCTGTGGAGCAGGGAGCCTGACGTGGGGCTTGATCCCAGGACCCTGGGATCATGACCTGAGCCGAAGGCAGATGCTTAACGATTGAGCCACCCAGGCGCCCCTTGCCGGGGTTTTGATAGGGATTTCGTTAAACCTGAATGTAAATTTGGAGGAACTGACATTTTCACTGTGTTGAGTTTTCCACCTGATGGATGTGGTATGGACATGTATGTCCATTTCTTAAGGTCTTTGATTTCTTTCATCAGCATTTTATAATTTTTAGCATA